TGGCCTGAGGTGTCATGGGCCCATCAGGCTATAAATAATTCACCCTTATGTTGCCAGTCCAGGTCCACCTGAGCCACTTCAATCTTAGCAGCCTGATCCACCTGCTGGTTGTTTTGATGTTCTTCAGTGGACTCTCCTTTCGTTGCCAGGAAGCTTCCCAACCTGGTACGCCCCTCTGATTATTATCCTCTTTTGATAGTCCAGGCGGGCAGTGACAACATTGAAGAGAGAAGCCTGAAGGCAATCAAAAGAGACTTTAGGGGGCTGGGACGGTTAGTGGATGGAGCGAGAGTGCAGGTAGTGTTTTCATCCATCCCTATGGCGGCAGGGAGGGGTACAGAGAGGACGCGGAAAGCCCACCTGTTAAACACGTGGCTCCGGGGCTGGTGCCAACGCAGAAATCTTGGGTTTTTCGACCATGGGGCACTTTACTCAGCACCCGGCCTGATGGCCGCAGACGGGTCCCTATCTTTTAGGGGAAAAAGGATCCTGGGCCAGGAGCTGGCAGGGCTCATTGAGAGGGCTTTAAACTAGGTAAGAAGGGGGACGGGGCTGAAGCAAGGCTTGTTGGAGCTGTGCCAGGGGGAACAATGGCAAGGCCGGAGGATAAGGTAATGGCCCAGCTGAAGTGCATCTACACCAACGCACGCAGCATAGGTAACAAACAAGAGGAGCTGGAAGCCATCGTGCAGCAGGCAGGCTACGACTTGGTTGCCATCACGGAGACGTGGTGGGACCAGTCTCATGACTGGAGTGCTGCAATGACTGGCTATAAGCTCTTCAGAAGGGACAGGCAGCACAGAAGGGGTGGTGGTGTGGCTCTCTATATTAGAGAGTCTTTCGATGTTGTAGAACTCGAGGCTAGGAATGACAAGGTCGAGTCCCTGTGGGTTAGGATCGGCTGGGACAACAAGGCTAGTGTCCTGGTCAGGGTCTGCTATAGACCGCCGAACCAGGATGAGGAGACGGATGAGGAGTTCTACAGGCAGCTGACAGAAGTTGCGAAATCTTCAGCGCTTGTTCTCGTGGGGGACTTCAACTTCCCTGACATATCCTGGAAGCACAACACAGCCCAGAGAAAGCAATCTAGGAGGTTTCTGAAGAGCATGGAAGATAGCTTCCTGACACAGCTGCTTAGTGAACCTACCAGGGGAGGTGCCCCGCTAGACCTTCTCTTCACAAACAGAGAAGGACTGGTGGAGGATGTGATTGTTGGGAGCAGTCTTGGGCAGAGCGACCACAAAATGGTGGAGTTCACTATTCTTGGCAAAGCCAGGAAGGGGACCAGTAAAACTGCTGTATTGGACTTTCGGATGGCTGACTTTGGGCTGCTCAGGACACTAGTTGGTGGAGTCCCTTGGGAGGCGGTTCTGAAGGGCAGAGGGGTCCAGGAAGGCTGGGCGCTCTTCAAGAGGCAAATCTTAATGGCGCAGGAACGGTCTGTCCCCACATGCCCTAAGACGAGCTAGCGGGGAAGAAGACCAGCCTGGCTCAACAAAGAATTGTGGCTTGAGCTTAGGAGAAAAGAGAGAGTTTATAATCTTTGGAAAAGAGGGCGGGCCACTCAGGAGGACTATAAGGGTGTTGCGAGGCTGTGCAGGGACAAAATTAGAAAGGCCAAAGCTCATCTGGAGCTCAATCTGGCTACTGCCGTTAAAGATAACAAAAAACGTTTTTATAAATACATCAACACAAAAAGGAGGACTAAGGAGAATCTCCATCCTTTACTGGATGCGGGGGGAAACTTAGTTACAAGAGATGAGGAAAAGGCGGAGGTGCTCAATGCCTTCTTTGCCTCAGTCTTTAGCGGCAATACCGGTTCTTCTCTGGATACCCAGTACCCTGAGCTGGTGGAAGGGGATGGGGAGCAGAATGTGGCCCTCACCATCCACGAAGAACTGGTTGGTGACCTGCTATGGCACTTGGATGTGCACAAATCGATGGGGCTGGATGGGATCCACCTGAGGGTACTGAGAGAATTGGCAGAGGAGCTGGCCAAGCCCCTATCCATCATTTATCAGCAGTCCTGGCTATCAGGGGAGGTCCCAGCTGACTGGCGGCTAGCAAATATGATGCCCATCTACAAGAAGGGCCAGAGGGCAGACCCGGGGAACTACAGGCCTGTCAGTTTGACCTCAGTGCCAGGGAAGCTCATGGAGCAGATCCTCTTGGGAGTCATCACGCGGCACTTGCAGGGCAAGCAGGCGATCACGCCCAGTCAGCATGGGTTTATGGAAGGCAGGTCCTGCTTGACGAACCTGATCTCCTTCTATGACAAAGTGACGCGCTGGGTGGACGAGGGAAAGGCTGTGGATGTGGTCTACCTTGACTTCAGCAAGGCTTTTGACACCATCTCCCACAGCATTCTCCTCAAGAAACTGGCTGCTCTTAACTTGGACTGGCGCACGCTTCGTTGGGTTAAAAACTGGCTGGATAGCTGGGCCCAAAGAGTCGTGGTAAATGGAGTCAAGTCCAGTTGGAGGCTAGTCACTAGTGGCGTCCCCCAGGGCTCGGTGCTCTTTAATATCTTCATCAATGATCTGGACGAGGGCATTAAGTGCACCCTCAGTAAGTTTGCAGATGACACCAAGTTAGGTGCATGTGTCGATCTGCTCGAGGGTAGGAAGGCTCTGCAGGAAGATCTGGATAGGCTGCACCGATGGGCTAAGGTTAACTGTATGAAGTTCAACAAGGCCAAGTGCCGGGTCCTGCACCTGGGGCGCAACAACACCAAGCAGAGCTACAGGCTGGGAGATGAGTGGTTGGAGAGCTGCCAGGCAGAGAAGGACCTGGGAGTGATGGTGGACAGTCGGCTGAATATGAGCCAGCAGTGTGCTCAGGTGGCCAAGAAGGCCAATGGCATCCTGGCTTGTATCAGAAACAGTGTGACCAGCAGGGCTAGGGAGGTGATCGTCCCCCCGTACTCGGCTCTGGTGAAGCCGCACCTCGAGTACTGTGTTCAGTTTTGGGCCCCTCGCTACAAGAAGGACATCGAGGTGCTTGAGCGGGTCCAGAGAAGGGCGACGAAGCTGGTGAGGGGCCTGGAGAACAAGTCCTACAAGAAACGGCTGAAGGAGCTGGGCTTGTTCAGCCTGGAGAAGAGGAGGCTCAGGGGCGACCTTATTGCTCTCTACAGATACCTTAAAGGAGGCTGTAGTGAGGTGGGGGATGGCCTGTTCTCCCACGTGCCTGGTGACAGGACGAAGGGAAATGGGCTTAAGTTGCGCCAGGGGAGTTTTAGGTTAGATGTTAGGAAGAACTTCTTTACTGAAAGGGTTGTGAGGCATTGGAACAGGCTGCCCAGGGAAGTGGTGGAGTCACCATCCCTGGAAGTCTTCAAAAGACGTTTAGATGTAGAGCTTAGGGATATGTTTTAGTGGGGACTGTTAGCGTTAGGTCAGAGGTTGGACTCGATGATCTTGAGGTCTCTTCCAACCTAGAAATTCTGTGATTCTGTAAAAAGTATTCCTAATACTAAAAGGAATGAGCAACTTCCCCAGACATCCCTGATAAATTATAATCGTCAAACTATTTTATCCACACATTTTAAAATAGAAGCAACTCAGAAGGGAGAGGAAAAAACGTAACTTCAAGTACATTAGCTCATGGAGCACTAAGAAAGCTAATTATCTACAGTTTCCCTACATCATTTTACAGATTCAATTCCACTTCATTTATTCCAATACAAAAGATATGTTTAAATAAAGGCTTGAAGTATAAGCTCCCTGGGGCAAGTACCTTATTTTCATGTTTATCTACAAACCACTTAACATACTGTCAGCACTACACAAATAAAAACCTAAAGGTGGTATTACAGTAGACCCTCATGCTAAGCATTTTCTCCTTAATAGGCCTCATCCAACTCTGAATTTTGCTCACTGTACAAGGGCACAGCTGTAAAGCACACCACGTCAAATGCACACGCATACAAATCAGAACAGTTGCACTTTCCAAGTGCAAACAGTATAAAAATAGGCAAAAAAGAATACATCTTTCTGGTTGCTGGTATTATTAAATAAATAATTTAATAAAGCTAAAAGGCAAACTTCAAAACATCCACAAGAGAAAGATGTGATTCCAAGCAGTAAGGGGATATAGTTCCTCAGTTTCAGCGTGACACCCCCCCCCCCCATCAAGAAGTAAAAGTTTCTTGTAGTATTGAAAGTTAATAGCTTGAAAAACAGACGATTTTTTTCTATTAAGAACAAGTATGCATTTTACTATGTTTGTGGGCATATAATAAACAAAATCTAATAGCCAATTATGCCTGAATTCTTTCCATTCACCAAATGGTTTAAAACAAAACAGACTACTGCAGCTAAAATAATGAAGGCAATTCTATTAGTTTGGTTCCTTTACAAGTGGCTCAGTTCACTCACTCAAATCCCAGCCACACTAAGAAACTCAATGCAGAAAAGAAAGAAATTACAGAAAGACTCCTATCTATCTTAAACAGTTCCTATTTCAGTTTTGCTGTTTTGAAAAGACAGAAGTTAAAGTAACAAAACAGCAAAGTCATTCAAAGAAAACAAAATACCGAAGCTAAATCCAACTTTTAGATACTGACAAGGTAACACAAAATAGAACTACTTCAGTGATCCTAAGAAATTTAAAATATTTATTTAGAAGTGTTATTTATAGTAAAAATAAAACGTTACAGGAAAAAAAAAAAACAACACTGTAGCAGTCCTTCAGCATAATTTCCCATGCTTAAAGTTACTTTTCTGCCAGGCTTTAATGCAAGCCATATTCTCAAAAATCTTTGTAATGTCCTTAGATTTTTTATTTTATTTTATTATCTCAGTATTACTAATAGTTTAGTATCACAGAGTCTCTGAAATATTTTTGAAAAGATGGTGACTACGATAAATGTGTCACCTTTAACAGAGACTCAATTTATAGTCTACCCAATAATGCTTTAATTATTAAAGCTTTATGAATAAACAGGGGGGGGGGGGGGGGGGGGGGAAACGACACGACTACATAAAATTACCACTGACTTCTGAATTAAGTTGTTCCATCCATCTTAATTTTCCTTGAGGCAGTAGCAATTCAGCTGAAATCAAGCCTGCAAAGAAAAATATTACAAATATATATATTAATTTCCACAGTTAACTGTATCTACATTGAGAAATCAATTACAGGGGAAGATGGCACCAATACAACTAACACGTAAAATTGGTTAGTTAGCCAATATATTTTGGTTTTAAATCCTTCACAACAAAGTTGTGGAGGGTCGCTTTTTTTATTATGATATAGTTTCAAACCAGACTCATTCCCATTACAGAACAGGAAATTACTCTGAATATAACCTTAAAGTTCCAATGGAAAGAATAGAAATTTGCTTCCATACACGACAAAGAACAGCGAAAGGAAATAAATTTTAAAAAGCTACATCAATACCTTCATGCTACAAAAATGCCTAATGAAAATGGAAGGACAAGCCATCCAACAGACCTATTCAAGAAGCATAACAGCTCACTATTCAGATTACAATATTAACACAAAGGGATAAGTTACCTACGGATTCAGTCTAGATATATTTTTTAAGTCTCCCAGAAGAATCACACTCCTACATACAAATTGCTCTCTGTAGTAGTGCATGTATTCTTCAAATCCTTACAGATATTCCATTAATTGACAAATAAAACCTAGATTCTGCAAGCTCATTTCAATGTTCTCAAAAGAAAAACAGCATCCTCTAGGCAGAGACTGTTACTGATTTAACCATTCTACCAACAAAATATTTATTCAAGTGTAAATTTGTTTATGAACACTACAATACTTACCTAATCCAAGAGGACCACACAAGGTGTCGTTAGCACCACGTGATTTATGTTTTTCCAGTTTGTTTTCCTTGAGATAATATCACAAGCTATTGATACTACATTCGTAGCTGTTTGACATGAATTTGACATCACAGCAATCAGCTACCCATCCTTCTTGCTTACAGATTCCACAAGGCTATTTACAAAGCTTGCTAAGTCTCTAACTTAAGAAGTTTGTGTTTCTTTCTTAAGGCTTCTCCTCTCATCTATTCCATATACATATCACTATAAGAAGCATCAACTCCAGATGAAATAAATACACTTTTTATACTGTAAACTGTAAAGCCAAAAAAAAAAATAAATTATATCTGAACTAAATAGCATTTCCTAATTTCAGAGAGCAGAGACATCTGTAAACAACAGCTATCTGGATATCACTCTATTGCATACCGGCAACAACATTTTTCAACAGAAGTAATTACAAACAAATTACTGTTACGTTTTTCATTTAGAAAATAGGTCTTAGTGCAAAATGACAAAAGGCTATATTAGAAAATCAAAAAAAAAAAAGGAGGGTGTGTAAAAATATCTGCCATGAAACTTTTCAGCAACATCTACACAGTAACTCAGGCTGCACTTAATCTGGAGTCAGTTCACAAAACTGGTTATGCCTATGACTCAGACAGAACATCGCTTGGAAGAAAAAAAGTAACTAAAAACCAAGAAGCACATTATTTTGACAACCAAAGCATTCCAAACTTGATACATTCAGCCATGTATCCATGACATGTGAAGTGTCCAAGGGTGAAGCGCTCTGTGCTTCTAGAAAGAGAAAGCTCACAACTTCCAATTCACTTTCCAGATGCCTACTGATTGTTCCAGAAGCCTTTTCAGGAGGATACACTTGGACAAATAATCCACAATCAGTGTCCGATATCTCCCCACTTTCAAAAAAAAGCAACTACAGCAGGTCGATCTCCACCATTCTTCCTCCCTACCAGCTAAGGCAAAACAAGCCAAACATCCAGGGCTCTCTCTGTAATCCAAATTACCTAAGGGAAAAGAATCAGAGCCATCAGTTTTCACTTTTGAAATCTTAACCAGCATTACAGACAAATAGATATATCTGAATCTTAAAAAGTAAACGTGCATGCAGTCAGGCAACAAAATCCCAATACAGAAGGCTAGTGAAACCTGCACTCACACCCTGGAGAGCACAGCAGGCATGCACTGGAGAACACAGCACTTCAGTGCTAACGTTCTCCTGTCCTTATAAAAGAATCAGGCATCTTCTCCGGTCTCCGATGGAAAGAGGGAAGAAAAAAAAAAAAAAAAAACGAAAACAAAGGGACGCTTCTCATTTTATTGGGAAAAAAATCAGCCTGCAGGACACTCGAGGAGGAAGGCGCTGACCCAGACTAGAGACAGCAAACAAAGCACGAAGCAAACCCGAAAAAGTGGCGGGGGCTGCCCGAGGAATCCCGAGCCGCAGGGAGCAGCACCGAGGCAGGCAGGCAGGCAGGCAGGCAGCCGGCCACAGCGTGGGGGAACAGCCCAGGGAAATCCCTAGCTTCTCCGCGAGAGCTTTTGCTGCTGATAAAGCGTCGGGAGCCGTGAAGGGTTCCGCCAGACAGGTTTCCCCAGGCAGGGCTCCCCCCGCCTTCCCTTGGGCGGGCCTCCCGCCACACGGGACCCTACGGCAAGGGAAGAAGAGAGGCAGCCCCACACCCCTCACAGTAGCACCCACCCTAGATACTCCACCTCTGCTCCCTGGTGGCGGTTGTTGCTGCTGCCGCCACCACACCGTACGCAGCAACAGCGACTCTCCACCCCCAAGAATCACGAAGAACCCCCAGACGCAAGAGCACCACACACGCAAACACACATGTACAGACACCAATCACCTCACTCCCAAAATGGCGCCACTCCGAGCTACAATGTTCAGCGCTCCCAAACCTCGCGAGAGCTGCCGCGCGATTCCACAGGAGCCTGAGGTGGGGCTTACCGGCCGCCGACGAGGTATGCGACCCCACCTCGCCTGCAGGAGTTCTCTGCCGTGACGTTATGAGAACAATCCCGAACGTTCAACGCGGGACGGCGGGGAAATCCTTAACGTGCGTCCTGCCTCGCCCGCGGGAGTTCCCAGCACCGACGTAATGAATTGTGCGGCGGCGCAGCCTTACTGGCCCCAGCGGCCGTACTCTGGTACAAGCCGCCGAGTGGCCAGAACCAGTTACTGAAACGAACGCTCAGGCCGTGATCATACAAACCATCCCAGACACCACTGAAAGATGCATGCGTTACGATCTTCCCACGGATGCGGGCGGAAGAGACCAGTAGAACATCACCCACCGCTGCGTGGGCGGGGCTGCGTAGGGAACTGCGCGGCCCGGCCGCTGCCCGCAGCGGCTGGCTGAGAGCTGCTAGCAAAGGCAACAGAGTTAAGTCACCCTGCTCGCCGGATTTGAAACTAGTGAGAGCCCAGTATCACCGTTTAAACAAACTAACTAAAAAAATAGCATTTTCATTAAATTTATAAAAATAGCTTGAACTTACGAGTACTTACGTTTAACATATTGCAATCATTTGATGCGTACCTTTTTTAAAGAAGTGAGTCAGGGAACAAGATAAAGGATGTTGATTCCGTAGGTCTTAGCTAGCGCAATGGTATGTTAACGGCCCCAAAGATAAGGCAGTAAAAGACTGTATGCATAGATAATGGAACCAGCAAGAACTGGCTTGACTGCTGAAGTCTGTCAAAGAAAGGAAGGGTCAGAAAGGAAGAGTTGAGCAGCAAGGAAGACATCTGGCCTTCATCAAAAGACCACCAGAGTACGTCTGATGACCACCCAGTATGCATGCGAATAGGGGCAGGAAGCTAAGTTAATGATTCTTCAGAGACCTGATGAATATGCAAGAGCCTTACAGGAAATGAAATGAACATGTACTTGTCCCACTAATATAAGCACACAGCCAGTAACCCTTGGTGTGTCTGTTAGGCAGAGCAATCCCCCTCACACCCACTGCTGTAATAAAGAATACCTGCTTAAAAACTTTGGTTATTGAGTTTTCACTGCGTCAGAAATACAATGCACCTTCATTTGGCCTGGAAACTAAATGTCTGAAATTTCACTGTGCAATTTGGAAAACTCGTTTCCATTGCAAGTCAAACTATTTTGCAATTGGCTACATAAAAAATATACAATAATATGCTTAAATGTCATTAGAAATTGTACAGGCAAATGTTTTCAGAACCTGCATTTGATTCCGTATTTTCTTTTATTGGCAGTTTCCTCTATTTAATTTAAATTATTGTAGGAACTGAAATGATGGATTGATTTTTAGACAAAAATCTCGTCATCCTGACAAATCTTAGGATTTTTTAAATGGGTTTTGCAGACATATATATTCTCTGAAAATAAAATTAATAGAAAGCAAAAATTAACAAGAAAGTAGAAAGATACATGAGAATTCCACCATTAAAAATGAGAAAACCTCAGAGAGCACTATGGTCTTATTTTCCTTCAGGTCAATTCTGACTAGTCAGCCCCAATTCCAATTCCTAACAGCAGTGGTGGTTTTCTTAGGTGCCCATCACAACCTTAATTGCACTGCAGTCTCATTTTTCTACCTCATCCTTTAACTAGTTTGGTCTTTTATTTACCTTGACCTGAGCTGCAAAAATGATGCTTTCCCAGTAGGGTTAAGGAGCATGCATACTGAAGAGGAGATTTCAAGAGCCCAAAAGGGTTCTGATGGGCTTTTAACATAGCTGCCTTAGAGACAGAGGACATTAAACAGTTGTCTACCTTGCCCGGTCTCTCAGAGGACCCTTCTGTTGTGGGGTTGCTGAGGGTCATAGAACAGCAAGTGCCAATCGCTACCACAACTGTGCACCGGCGGCAATATCATACCAACCGAGACTCCCTGATTCCCATCCATGAGTTGGTTCACCGGCTGGAGAGTCAAGGAGTGACCAGCAAGACTCATTCACCTTTTAATAGTCCCATATGGCCAGTGTGAAAGTCTAATGGCGAGTGGAGACTAACAGTGGACTATCGTGGCCTGAATTAAGTCATGCCACCACTGAGTGCTGCAGTGCCGGACATGCTAGAACTTCAGTATGAACTTGAATCGAAGGCAGCCAAGTGGGATGCCACCATTGATATCGCTAATGCATTTTTCTCCATCCCTTTGCAGCAGAGTGCAGGCCACAATTTGCTTTCACTTGGAGGGGTGTCCAATACACCTGGAATCGGCTGCCCCAGGGGTGGAAACACAGCCCTACCATTTGCCATGGACTGATCCAGTCTGCGCTGGAGCAGGGGGAAGCTCCTGAACACCTGCAGTACATCGATGACATTATTGTGTGGGGTGACACAGCAGAGGAAGTTTTCGAGAAAGGGAAGAAAATAGTCCAAATCCTTCTGAAGGCCAGTTTTGCCATAAAACAAAATAAAGTCAAAGGACCTGCACGAGAGATCCGTTTTTTAGGAATAAAATGGCAAGATGGACGTCGTCAAATCCCAATGGATGTGATCAACAAAATAACAGCTATGTGTTGCAGGAAGAGCGGCCGAAGTCAGTGACACACACCAATATGGTCAGATCATGCTCTACCTTTATTACCCAAATAGCTTGACTCTTATAGCAAATTCAGCAGGGGTGGATAGTGTTTCACACAAGATTATTGGTCGAAAGCACTCAGACAAATAACTGCAAGAAAACAACCCCACCTGCAAGAAACCCCCCCCCTTGTGGTAGCAGTCATGTAGACCTTGTCCTTGAAGAAATTCCGGCTGCTGGCAACAATATTTTTAATTCCTCAGTCAGGCGATAGAACATCGTTATAGCAACTCCTTGTAGTCGTCCTGGTAGCTTGGTTTGCTCAGCTGCAGCAAGTCAGGGCCTCCTTGCTGTTTCAAAAATCCCTCAACAATTCCCCCTTTTTCTTTTTGAGCAATCCAAGCCTGATGTAACAGTTTTGCAAGTAACTTTTTAACCACATTTATTACAATACAACACACAATGATGATTAACACCATAATAAACAGAATCCTTAATCCCTCTTTGATTAATGTCTGTAACCATCTAGGCATCGTCCCAAACAAATCAGTGAGTCACTGATCGAAAGGACTAATATCATGTAGCATACTGGCCAAACTCAGAAGGGTCATACACAGGTATACCTATGAGGCAAGTCCTGAACGGATCTGTGGACGATGCCATGGACAGACAAAATTCTGATATACCAGTCTGATTAGCCCATGTTATCCACAGATTTCGTTCCACCTCGATCTTGGTCACAAGCGCAAGCCCTGCTGGCAGTATTAGAATTGTTGCAGGAAGCATGGCCAAAAACACGACAGACACCAGCAGAGTCAGATCATGCTCCATTTTATTGCCCGAATAGCCTAACTTTTATAGAGAACTTAACAGGGGCGGACAGTGTTTCACACACGATTATTGGTCAAAAGCACTCAGACAAACAACTATAAGAAAACAACCCCACCTGCAAGAAAATAACCCCCCTTTTGATTATCAGTCAGGAAAACAACCCCCTTTGTGATTAGCGGTCACGTAGACCTTGTCCTTGAGGCCAGCTGCTGGTAACAATATTTTTCTGAGTTCCTTAATTGGGCGATGTGGGAATCATTGCCGTGGGAGCTTCTCACAGTTACTCTGGTAGCTTGGTTTGCTCAGCTACAGGAGGCCATGGGATTTTTGCTCTTTCAAGAAATCCCTCAACATTAGAATCACCATCAGCAACTTCCCCGTCCCTTGAGACATCTTGGGCAGCCTTCATAAATCGGCTGGTACCCACACTGGTCCTGCTCAGCATTCTGCGAGTCTGATACAATATTGCGTCCCACGTCTCTCCGCGTCTCGCGTCTCACCGCGTCCCTGTTCTGCATCTCACCGTGTCCCTGTTCCGCGTCTCACCGCGTCTCTGTTCCACGTCTCTCCGCGTCCCACATCTCACTGGGTCTCTGTTCCACGTCTCTCCTTGTCCTGCGTCTCTCCGCGTCTCTCTGCGTCTCACCGCGTACCATGTCTCACCGCGTCTCTCTGCATCTCACCGCATCCCGTGTCTCATCGTGTCTCTCCACGTTTCACTGTAGCTATGTCTCCACCAACTAGCAAAAAAGAAACACAGACTTTCCTAGGTGTCATGGGGTTTTGGAGAATGCACATGCCGAATTGCAGTCTGATTGTAAACCCGCTCTACCAAGTAACCCGTGAGAAGAATGATTTTGAATGGGGCCCTGAGCAACGTAAAGCCTTTGAACAAATTAAGCAGGAAACAGTTCATGCAGTAGCCCTTGGGCCAGTCTGAACAGGACCAGGTGTAAAAAAATGTGCTCTACACTGCAGCCGGGGAGAATGGCCCCACCTGGAATCTCTGGCAGAAAGAAACTGGGGAAACTCGAAGTTGACCCCTAGGGTTTTGGAGTTGGGGATTGTACTGGGTCTGACTGGAATGTTAACTTTCCCTGCAGCAGCCCATACAGTGCTGTGCTCTGCACTTGTAGCTAGAACAGCAGTGGTATCACACCAGTGTTGTGTCTGCTGCTGAGCAGTGCTGGCACAGCATCAGGACTCTCTCTAACCCTCCTAGGGGGTGGGCAAAAAGGTGAGCAAGAATCATCACCAGGGCAGCTGACCTAAACCAACCAAAGGGATATTCCATACCATATGATGTCACACTCAGCAATAAAAGGTGGAAACAGGAAGAAGAGGGGAGGGGTGGGCTCTTGTTGGGAAAACATCTGTCCTCCTGACACACTGGCTATGTGCATTGAGGCCCTGCTTCAAGGACGTGGTCAATCATCGCTCATTTGTGGGAAGTAGAGAGTAATTTCTTTCCTCTGCACTTCTACATAGCCTTTAGTTGTATTGTTTTATGTTTTCTTTTTCCCTTCCCCCCCTTTCCCCTTTCCCTTTGTTCCCTTTAGTTAAATTTGATTAATAATAATCTTTCCTTCCTTAATAATTATTATTTTTTTCCTCTTTAATTAAATTATCCTTATCTCAACCTGTGAGTTGTTCTTTGCTTTACTTCTTCCCCTCCTCATCTAAGGAGGGGGAGTGAGAGAGCGGTTGTGGTGTTCAGCTGCCTAGCACAGTAAAACCACCGCAGTCCTTTTTGACACCCAATGCGGGGCCCCAAGGGTTGAGATAACAATAGAATTGATTAAAGCTCTTACAACTTACTTCCTAGTCACCATGTTCAGTGTCCTGTTAATAGTGGCTTCTTTGATCATATGTCATGCAATCCGTGTCATGTTCTCCTTTCTCCTCTATATCCAATCCGAGAATGTGCTACAATCCGTGTTCGTT